TTCAGATATTTCTCCTTCTTTTCAGTTTCTAACAATATATATTAAAAATTTATAAAAATATATTTAACATTTATTTTTAATTTATATTCAATTTTTAAGAGTAAATAATATGTTATATAAAAAATAAAATTTATAAAAATTAAAAGTACAACTTGTGCGAGGGGTACGGGGTACCATCTGGTTGAGTTATAGGGTGAGAAAGTGTCTAAGTCGGGCGGTTCACATTAAAGTCGTCGGGTGCCTTGCCGAAGAAATAGAGGTTCGAATCGCAGGGGTGGCAAGGATCTCGGCCGATGTCTAGCGGACCGGACTTAGGAATCGAGCCTGCATACGGTATTACCTTTTTAATCAAAATAATGGGAACCAGCTTTTGTCTCCAGCCGGCCCGGCCCCGGCCCGCCCCGTCCCGTCCCGCCCGGCCCTGCGTGGTTAGATCTTAGACAAGGTTAAAATACTAATTTCGTCCTTTAACTTTTAGATTTATATTAAAATTGTCTCTCAACTTCAAAAAATATCAAAATTATCTCAAAACTTTAATTTTTAATATCAAAAAAATCTTTCCATTAACAAAAGTATCATGTAACTTATTATTTTGTCATAAAATTAATTCTTTTTTAAAATACCAATAACGTATAAAATCAAACAATTATATCTTGTTCTCGTAACATACTTTTATTTATATATTAGATAGATATATAATCAAAATTGAAAAACTACATTGAAATTTGTAATTAAAGTTTAAGGATTAAATTGACACTTATCTTTAAAGTTTAAGGATTAAATTGATATTATTTTTAAAGTTTAAGAATTATTTTGATATCAAAAATTAAAATTTAAGAATAATTTTAATATTTTTTGAAGTTGGAAGATAATTTTAATATAAATCTAAAAATTGAGGAATGAAATTAGTATTTTAACCAACAATTATCTAAGAGCCCCGAACATATACAGTCATGCTCTGTATTTATAGTTGAATTTATTGATATTTAATAATTGATAATTATTTTTTGAACTAAAATTAAATGAACAAATATCCTTATAATACCATCAGGCCTTATAATTCCAACTTGATCAAGGGTCACGGCTACTTAATAATTGATAATTATTCTTATTTATAATATAAAATATTTAATTCATTCAATGAAATTCATTGTTAATAACCGAATATATATAAAACACCAAAACAAAAGCCACCCTATGTTTTTCTTAAGTGAAGCTGCACTAACAACTATTTATGTCATAAATCATATTTCATCTGCTGCCAAGAACAAATACCCCTATAATTTTAATAATCATTTTGAACTAAAATTAAATGAACAAATATCCTTAAATTACCATCAGGCCTTATAATCCCAACTTGATCAAGGGTCACGGCTACTAGAAGGAGGCGTGGGGATCATATTAATTTTAAATTTTAAATCTTAAATTTAACCTATAAAATAACATTTGCTTATTAATTATATCTATTATATTTATCATTCAATAAGTAGACAATTAAATCAACTGGAGGGGATATTATAGCACTACATTTCAAACTAAAAATAAATATAATTAGTAATAAATATAAAATTAGTAATAGAAGATATCCCCTTTAATTGATTTTACACTTTATTTGACAATTTTTTTGTACTTTACTTTTTATTTTTATGTCTTTTTATTATTTTAAAAATATATAAAATATTAATTAAAATAAATATTAAATATATAAAATATATTTTACATATTTTTGGAATATTAAAGGATTAAAAAACCTATAGCTACATTTACAAGCTAACATGATCAAATTAAGCCTTAATTGTCTACTTATTGAATGATGATCTAAATTAATTATGTCATTTTTCCTTTAAAAAGAGATTAAGTACTGCTTTTTCAATTTTATTTAAAAAATACAGATGAATAAAGGTTTTTATATTTTATCTTGAAATTGAAATTTGATGATAATTTTAATTATTTTTATCTATTACACCCTTAACAAATAAATAAAAATAAAGAACTTTTTTCATGATAGGAAAGGTAATTAAAATTAAGAGATACTAATAAAGTTCAGGTAAAAAAATTAATCTCTTTTAAAACATGAAAGAAATTACTATTATTTTGAGAAAGTACATTCTAAATAAAAAATATTTATCATTCTAAAATTGATAGACTAATAAAAATAGAAGGATAAATGAGAGTATAAGAGTATCAATTCTTGTATTAAGTGAAATTTCACTATAATTTTGAACAGATAGAATGAGAAAATTAAATCACATCAGAATGAGTAGTAGATATGGCTTCTTCTTCTTCTTCTTCACACAAATTGCATAAAAAAGTTCATTCTAGGTATTGAAATAATAATAATAATAATAGTTATTACTATTACTATTATTTGTTTTTGAGTTATATAATAAAAACTAATTTTTTTTATTTTTTAATTCTTTTTCTTCTTCACACAAATTGCATAAAAAAGTTCATTTTAGGTATTGAAATACTATTATTATTATTTGTTTTTGAGTTATATAATAAAAAATAATTTTTTTATTTTTTAATTCACTTATATCATATTATATTATTTGAATTTTGTATCCCTTATTTTCAGTAATTATTAAAACAACTTTAACTATTCACACAATAAATCATTTTTTGTTAAAGGTATTTTTACTATTTTAATATTCAAAGTTTGAAACTATATTTTTATATTTAAATTCAAAGCCGTAAGGTTCAAATTAAATTTTTTGAAACAGAATTATCATTCTACTTACTAATACTACCTTAAATAGAATCTGTTTTATAGGCTCGCACCTCTCTCTAACCTTGAGTTTTAAGTCTAAAACTAACACATATTAACTAATAATCTGTTGGTTTGAGTGAAAAAAATTCAGTTTTCTTTAAATAAAATTTTGAATTTGAGTCTTTTAAATGAAGAAACAAATGCTAAAAGAGTTTTTCCGAGATTAGACGCAATTCAATTCTAAATTAATCAAGATCTAATCTAATTATCAGATAGCAAGAAATTAATACAAAAAAAAAATTCAAAGTCACCAATTTTTTAAAAGTTTTACTACCGACCAGTTGACCACGCCACATTACAAAAAAAAAAACATGTATTAAATAATTTTTTATATTAGAAAATAGCAAAAGAGGAGATTTGTAGATGCGTCAAAATATTCTGGAGGGAATGACCTACAATCGAACGCCAGTCGGCCGATGATTTTAAACAAACAAATGGCAAAGGTGATACCGACCAAAAAATTAGAACCCGAAGGTGAACGATCACGCCCGATGGAGCGTTCTGCATCGGTCGAAGGATCTTAAGTATATGAAACCTTTTGTCCTTCGGAAATTAAGCTCAAGTCAACTCATCCAATCAACTGTCATAATCAAAAAGGACAATTTTTCTAACCAACGAGACAATTTTTCCTTATCTCTGTTGTCATTCAGCTTATGTTATACTTAGAACCTTAGTGGATCAGGATTCGGATGGTTCCTCACCTTCATTATCCTAACATTAGCGGCTTTGGTTGATGGGCGTCAGTTCAGGTGGAGCTAGTTGTTAAAGTGAGAAAATTTCATGTTGTTAAAATAATAAAAAAGCATATAAATGAAATATAAAAAAGCATATAAATGAAATATAAAAAAATTACTTTATTTATTATCAATTAATTTTAAGTTGAATATAAATTTTGTATTAAAAATTACATATATAGTTTTCACACTAATTACTATTAGTTATTGCCTGGCAATTATTATAATTTGATAGCGCTAGCTATATCTTACCAATATACTACGGGTATTTCTACGCAGATATGAGGAAGAATACACTATCCTGTGATAGTCCAGATAAATAAGGAAAGGGAAAGGGAAGTAAAATGGCTACAGCTATATATATTAGTAAGTTAATGTTTTCAAACATCCTAAGCTGGTTGTTTTAAAAAATATATATATGTTCTAACCAATTGTTAAAAGAAAAAAACTATGACTTGTTGAAATAAGCTAAATGAACATTGATTGGTATATTTTTTTATTCAATATATTATACAACATATTTATTAAAAAATTACTGTTTTTAATATGAAATTAAAACAAATAAATCTAAATATTACATGTTAGTTATTATAATTTGACAATAAAAATGATAATTTACCTCGATCTCCACGGAACCCACGAGATCTCCGCCATGGAGACGAGACAAGAAGGAATATTCCTTCTCACAGGGTGGGGACGAGGGCATTTTCTCCCCACGAAAATTCATGGGAAATTTTTCCCGCCTCACGAGGCCTGTGGGAATCCCATCCCCGCAAATAATTAAAAAAATATGTAAATTAATTTTATTTTAAATTTAATTTAACATTCAAATCCAAATCCAATTCAATAAAATTTAAACTTAACCCAATTTTACTCAACTCATTATTAACCTTTTAGTTATTTATGTTGAATTGATTTTTATTTATGTTTTGACAATTTATATTTGGATTTATATTTAAAGAATTTTAATTAATTATTCTTGAATTTTTAGAATTTTATTCATCATAATTGAATATCAATTAATTATATGTTAAAAAAATTATATTAATTAGTGGGAAATGTGGATCCCAGCGGGGAACGGAGATGGGGCCAAAATCTACCCTCCAGTTAAAAATCCCTGTTGGGATCCTCATCCCAACCATTCGCGAGGATGGGGACAAGGAAAGACTCCCCAACCCTGTAGGGCTCCCGTTGATATCCCTATTTGATAGTGCTATATTTTATAAATATACTACCAGTATTTCTACACAGATATGAGGAGGAATACAGATAAATAAGGAAAAGTCCAGATAAATAAGGAAAAGGAAAGAGAAGTAAAATGGTTTTTTTTTTTTGTTATTGTTGTATTAACCTCTTGATATCCAAGTCTTAACTAATTCGGAATTAAGTCGCATTGGACCCTATAATGGGAAAACTCTCACAATCCATGTTTCTCCATTTATAATACTTGAACTTGAGATTTTGTTTAAAGAAAATCGAACTCTTTTCACTTGCACCAACAAATTGTTGGTGAAGTAAAATGGTTATAGCTGATGGTAAATTAGCTATATGTTGATGTTTTCAAACATTCTAACTATATATATTTTTTTTAAATTAGACACTAATTAATATATTTTTTAATTTAACATATTGTACAATATATTTATTAATAAATTATTATTTAGTATAAAATTAAAAACAAAAAACGTAAAGATGCAGCCATACATACATGATGCATGATGCAAAAATCGATTGAATCTATTATATTTATATTATATTTTAATAATTAAACTGATTAAATATAAAAAAATATATATTAAAAATTATACGAATCGTTTTTCAAGCTAAACTATTGAACCTTATCTACAATGGATTTTTTAAGGCTATAAACCAAAAAAGAATTATTAGGCTTTTGAGAAGCTGAGAGTTTACCAGGAATTGCCGAATCGGTATCAGTTGATTTAGTGGTAGAGTCAAGATTTGAGATGAGGGGTTCCAATTTTGTTAATATTTAAATTAAATATGTGTTTAAAGTATTATTTTTTTGGTTTAATTTAACTATGTTAATTTGATTTTTGCCTAAACTTTGATTTGATGATTTTTTTCTTCAAACATAGTGTGTGTTGTGTGTGTTGAATATTTTCATTTGAATAAATTTTTTTTTCAATTTCCATTACTTTGTTTATATAAAATTGTTAAGTTAATCAACATAAAGTTGATAAAATTTGGTAACTAAAAATGACTAAAGTAAGTAACACATAATTGCAAAACTATAAACTTGGGTTTAAAATCAAACTTAATCATGTTCAACATAAAATATATTGTCCTTTAAATTTTTTAATGATTAGTAAATAATTATCTAATTATATTTGTAGGGAAAGAGTATATAATAAAACATATCTAAAAAATATAATAAATTTATAAAACATATCAAAAATTAATAAAAAAAAGATTTGCATTAATTAAAAAAGTTTGAGTTAGAGGTATAGTTCTGACATTTGACCTAGAAAAAAATAGATATTAATTAGTAACTACAATGAACATTTTAGACTAATTTTAAATACTACAAAAGTGATGAACTAAAGTTTTTTTAGGAAATGGTAGAGAAATATTAAAATTTAAACATTTTATTACCAATTTTTTGGAAAAAAAATTATTAGAGATTAAAAAGGCCATTTTTATCCTCCCATTGGTCTTTTTTAGTTGGCCTATTTTCTCAACTTTATGTAAATTAACTCAATGATTTTACATAGCAAATGAATGATAATTGAAAATTTTTTAAATTTAAATAAAAATACCCAACAAAAACTACGTATAAAAAGGAAAAAATTTTCAATTTTTATTTATTTATTATATACAATTATTTTATTAAATTTTATCTAAATTTCAAATTAGGATAACTATACATTCAACTAGAGGAAGTATTAATATATTAGTCTTAAAAAGTTATTAATTATTATGTCAACATATTATTTTAAATTTAATGGCAAGATTTATAAAAAAAAAAAGTAATGATAATTATTTTCACAAATAATAAATACTAAGAATAATTAAGAAAATAAAATAAAATTTAAAGATAAAATTCTTAAAATATAAAATTTGAGGATTAATTGAAAAAGCTTTTAAAAGACCAGGGGGCCATCAACCTGGCTACTTAACTGATTGTTGATTCCAATAATTACT